AAGGATGACAAACGAGCACACAGTCCACCTGATGGTAAGTGGTTGCTACGGCCCATAGACATCTACATCTATTCTCGATTACGTATCAAAATGTAGATGCGTTGTCACCCGTGAGGACTAAGATGTAATGCCTCGTTTCAAGTAAAAAGGTTCTTCGGTTCTCTACACTTACCATACGAAACACAGCAGGGTTAAAATGCTATTTTACATGCTATTCTGTGAGAGCGTGGTTCTTCCCCGGTCGAGCCGACCCATTCGTGCTACAACTATAGCTACTACTAATATAGCTGCAGCATGGCTCTACCATGTAAGAAAAAATTGACGGTGAAAATTTACGTATTTTCAGAAGCAACTTTGCAATTATTTTCTATTGAGTGCTTTTTGTGGAATCGTGTTTTGCAAACCGCCACCTGAAATACGTACAATTTTTTTTCGATAATGACGTGAAATTACATATCCCCATGCATATCAATGTGGCTCTATTCAGCCTCTTAATATGGACATACCTCGGGATTCAGAGATTTTAAAAGTTTTCATGCGTAGATAATGAAAGATATAATATTATATTATTACTGTCCCGTGTGAGGCAACATTTATACTTTTACAACCTTTGTACATATTCTCATCATATTTTTATGGTTGGTTAGAAAAATTATATCTAAATGCAAACTTTCACAGGGTAAATATTTTTTTCTATTTTTACACAGCAAGTAGTATAGCAACTGCAATCCCATCGGTAAGTGGTTATGTAGCCTAAGATGGTGAATTGCACTGACTTAACAAAAACCTATTCACTCTTGCCTAATAGTACTAGGTAAGTATTATTTGTAGACCTATTTGTGTGTGTGTGTGTTTGCGTGTGTGTGTGTGTGTGTGTGTGTGTGTGTGTGTGTGTGTGTGTGTGTGTGTGTGTGTGTGTGTGTGTGTGTATGTGTGAAGAAAAGCGTATTAGAATACGTGAAGAGGAATAAAGGTTGAGTGCAACTTCGCTTACCTGTACGAGGTTGCCACTCGAGAACCTTTCTTCCTATTTTTTATTTTCCAAGTTATATACATAGGCTGCACTAAAAGTATCGGGAATGGAATATTTCCACTGTTCCAGTCATATTAAAATCTTTTTAATTGTAAAGTCCTTGGTTTTAAAAATCGAATACCATTTATTTATTTAAAAAAAGATTCTCGGTCTTGTCACAAGGTTTTGTCAAACTTGTTTATAGTGCCACCAACTTATCTGTGAACTGACAGCTTGGCGCTTCTGCGCTGAAGTGTTGCCAGTTCGGGAATATTCCCATCTAAGGGTCTTATATTCCTACATACATTCCTACTTATAGTCTACATACTAGGGTAATAAATTAGTCACGGAATAAAGAGACTAGAACACAGATTTAACAGATCCAAGAACAAGAAGAAACAAAAATATCATAATTGAACAATTTAAACTTTAATTAAATGATATGCCTTTATGCCTTTTTTACCGGGCGTTGTAATTTGCGTGGTTTATGCGGTTTCCGGTTCTATAACTATTTTGGAAATTAATCTTTGACTAACATCTGAAAAACATTTATCGGAAATAAGAAAGGAAGCTTATACTCTTTTATATTTTTGTAGCAGCTGATACTCTTTTATAGACCTGATTGAAATACATTATCGGTGCTTACCTTCGAGCTTCTTGTTCACAAAAGTTTAATACTTATAAAATAATGTTTCGGGCATCACTTTTAATGGTTTTCGGCATTTTTTATTTTTCTATAAACTCTCAAAACAATGACGTATCGAGTGACATTTGATTAAATGGCGGCTGTAGTTCACAATTTCGCCGCAGCTGTCAGTTCACAGATAAGTTGGTGGGACTATAATCGTTGAGAAAATGGAATTGACTCGAGAAAATTCAAGAGCGATGATTTATTATTACTTTCGAAGTGGTTTAACACAAAAACAGTGTGTTGACCGGATGATTTCTGCATTTGGTGATGAAGCCCCATCCAAAACCACAATTTATCGCTGATTTGCTGAATTTGAACGTGGACGTGTCAAGCTCAGTGATGATCCCCGTCAAGGTCGTCCAAAAACTGCAGTCACCCAAGAAAACGTTGATGCTGTGCGTAAGCTGATTGAGGAAGATTGACATGTGACATACCGTGAAATTCAGGCAACTTTAGACATTGGCATGAGTCAAATACAAATAATCTTGCATGAACAATTAGGTGTGAAAAAGTTGTTTTCCTGATGGATACCGCATTCGCTCTGTGAAGAGCAGCAAAAAGCGGCTCGCGTTACTTGGTGCGTCAGAACTCTCGAAAGATTCCACGCAGGATCCTCAAATGCTGTATACAACATCGTGTCAGGTGACGAATCCTGGATATATGCATACGAACCCGAAACAAAAAACCAGTCACGAGTTTGGGTGTTCGAAAATGAATTAAAGCCAACAAGAATTGTCAAATCCAGCCAAATCCGAGTTCTCACACCGCACACAGAACAAAAGAGTTTTTAGAGCAAGAAAACATATAATTATTAGACCATCCGCCGTACAGCCCCGACCTAAGCCCTAATAATTTCTATACTTTCCCTAAAATAAAGAATAAATTGCGTGGACAGAGATTTTCATCACCTGAAGAAGCTGTGGACGCCTACAAAACGGCCATTTTGGAGACCCCAACTTCCGAATGGAATGGTAGCTTCAATGATTGGTTCCATCGTATGGAAAAATGTGTCAAATTTCGCGAAAAATACTTCGAAAAGCAATAAATACATTTTTAAATAGTAATGTTGTGTCACTTACTTGATTCCCGAAATTTTCAGTGCCCTCGTATAGCCTGCCCATTGCCATTTCACTTTAATATTCCGTTGGGCTATGTCAGTTACTCTGGTTCTACTGCGAATATCTTCATTTCTAACTTTATCACGTAGAGAAACCCCTCTCCAATTCAAAACTTTTACATTTTTTAGATGATAGTTTGTCTTACATTAAAATAACCATAAACCCAAGAATGTCTTTATATAGTTGTTTATACTTAGGGAAGCACCATTTTTTTTATTTATTTAAATTGTTTGATTTAATTTGATAACAGTGTACCCAAAAGTTAGTATCTGTGTCTACATTTCCCTCCCCAATAATATTTTATAAAGTCATACTCATAAAAACAGCGTTTTATTGTAATACATAATTATAAAATTCAGTATCAACTAATTAATAAAAATATGCAACAATAAATTACATAGGTATTAAAAACTATCGAAATCTAAGTAACGAGAGCATGTTAGTCGTTCCACATCTAAATTATATAAAAATGCATTTTTCAATTTCACTAATCAACGTCGCCGCGAAAATTTCTTCTTCTTTGGGCACTTTAAATATTAATTTATTTAGAAAATAATATTTACAGTTACCAGTATAAAGATATTAACTAAATTAAGTATTGCTAGTCATAAAAATATTTATAATTGAGTATAAACTTTTAAAAAACTAATATATATTTGAAAGAAGTCGCTCCAACACCGACGCGCGGTCCACCATCGACGATGTCCGAAAACGGACTGCGACAGGGCGACGGAGCATGCGCGCTCGCGTAAATATATTCAATTTCAGGGAAAAATGATATATTCTCTTATAAAACGGGGAATAAAAATAAATTCTCAATTAAAAATATTAATATTTTTAAGACCTTTTTTTTTAGTGTAAGAACTATTTAAAAAGCTTGTGCCGTTTTGGAGAATTTTTGCAAAATATGACAAAGATAGGTACTCTTTGGGGATTTTTTTTTCTAATAAGGGGTTGACAAAAATACAATTTTGTTCAATTAATAACATTTACCGAATCCTCTTCTATTACCCCGTATTTTTTCTTTGTGGATTAAATGAACAGTTATTGAGATTTTTTTACTTAAATATCCAAGATTTAGGCATTTCAACCACTGCTAAGGCCTTAAATCGTCGACGACCGAGTTTTTTCTAATCGGCGCTATTCACTGGGGCTGCGAAGAGATGTTGCTTTGCATTTTCTATCGCATTTACCCCGAGGAGTGCATTGAAGAATTGTTTGGATTAATTATAGCCACAAAATGCCACCAACGCACATCGGGACAAAACTCACGATACTATCCACACTATGTGGATGCTTGGCGGTTCACCATGACTGTGCGATTAACTAGGAGTTTTTTCCTTGCAAGATTTCTTTGTGGAATCATCTGCAATCGACGATTTTTCCGGATCTATACGACTTATAGACCTTCAATAAACGAGCTTTCTCCTTTTAAAAGGGCCGATAAAGTACCTGCTATTTCCTGGTGTTGCAGTTGTTTATGGGCGATGATCGACACTTACTATTAAGCAATAGGAAAATTTGATTTAATGTGGACGAAACCACGGCGTTGAAAGCTAGCAAAATATAAAAATCTAGTAAATATATTAGTGGGCTGGGCAGGCAGAGACAGAACAGGCCTGTGGGAGACGCATATTCATTATTAGATTAGGGCTGTCGGAACTCTAAATCAGGCACTGTGTTTATACATGTATATATTTGTACAAGGTGCTGATATTCTGTGTGGGCTTGGTCCATCCCCCGTCGAAACGATCCACAGACTTTATTAAAAGGGTTATTATAATATTTAATGGATACATGGTTGATAAAAACCTCTAGGAATGAGATGACCGCTTACGCTGGTTCTTAAATGAGTTTTATAAATGATTGTGTAAATCTTTTTTTATTATATAATGATACTTTGAAAAAAAATTATGTCTCGCTGGGGGGTTTTTTCCGCTGATTCTTTACAGGATAGAGGTTTTATTTACGGACCATTAGTAAAAGTGATTCACAATAAGAATCATTGAATTTAATATTTATTCTATTTTGTTCGATTTTATTATTATTCCATTCCATTCCATACCATTCTATTCCATTGCATTCTAGTCATTTCTTTTCAAATCTATTTTATTATAATATATGTTTTACAGCTGACAAGAAATCTACGCGATGACAATAAATCTAATCGATTACGAACCTATGACATCACCTTCCTTCTCTGGAAGCTTCTTGAGAAGCAAGGCTAGTGACGGCCGCTCAGCTAATACCGCAGCAGTTTCTTCACCACTCATCTCCTCGTCCTCCACCGCCAGCAGCCTAGCGCCCAACTTACCCACCACTAATGGACATTTGTCTGCTACTATTACACCTGGAATGAAAATACTGTATGTTCTGGTGAAACGGTCGGACATCGACAGGCTGAAAATATTAAAAATTGTTTAAAGTAAAAATACTTTACATTTAGTTATTTATTGAATTCATCATATTACGTTAGTTACTACGTGCTCGTTGGTGACGAAAAACATCGTGAGGAGAACCTGGACGTTGCATGCATTGTAAATTTCGAGGACATGTAAATTCCGTCAACACGCATTGGAGAACATGTGCATGTAATTACTCCAAGATCGGAGCAGCGCGGAAATCTAATGAGGGTATCTACGACCTTTTCTGCATCCAGGGCTGCGCCACATAGGCATGAGATGAAATATTTGACGAAGTTTTATTTGTCAGGAAAATAACCGTGTTTAGTGGACAGCCTCGTGAGAGGTCTTTATTTCAACAGGGGACTTTTAAAGGGCTGTAATGAATATAATATAAATGTATAAAACATTTTAGATCCGGAAATAATATTTGTAAATTGTACAATGAATTAAGTTTAGCTTAAACACAATTATATTTATTATGTAAGTTTTTTTTAATTTGTGTGGAAGCCTATGTTCTTTACGGGCTATATTGAAATTAATATTGAATACTAACCCATATCCCTTAGTTTTCACAATCTACTTTAACTTCCAATAGCGTACGTACTGACCGTATGGTTCCAATGCGTCAGCCACTTTGCGAAGGTGTTTTTGTGCATGTGGCATCATGAGAGCCGCGCAGATTTCGCTGAAGTGCGCTTCAAGCTTGACCGCCCGCGCCTCCCTGCGCGCCTCACGCGAAGCCTCCCGCGCCGCCGCTTCGCGTGCTTTACGCTCCGCTACCAGCTTCGCTTGTAAATCCGCTATTTCCTTACAACCACACCACCAACAAAACTCCCTTAAAATCACTGTTCATGGACCCCTCAAGAAGTTAATTACACAAAGTAATATTACAGCCTTCACAAGTCATGCTGTTCACAAGGGAAGTATCACGCTATAGCAGAATCATCTATAAAACTGCTGGGCCTCGCCCATAGATTGTCTCATAGAGGAATTTTGCCATAATTGCCACGGTTGTTATCAGGGGTATGTTACTGTCTATCTCGTTTTTCAGTTCCCTTGTGTCGTCTCTTACGATACGCACGGGACGGTATAGGGTAGTGGATATTCTTACACCGCCGCTACACGGTTAATAACAGTATATAAGTGTCAAATAGCAACATTATACTGCTGTGTTTTGTATGATGAGTGTAGAGAAATGGAAACCCTTTTTTTGGTAATTTGCCATTTTCTTTCCTCAGGGATGACAATGCATCTGGATTGTGATTTAAATCGATGATGGATGTAGATGTTTATGCACTACTACATCCACTAGTAGCCACGCCTGGCAAGCAGATTGGTATTTTGTAAATATCTGCAGCTATATTATAGTTGTAGCACGAATGTGGCTTGACCGGAGAAGGAACACGCTTTCACAGAAAACCAGCGTAAAATAGCAGCTTAATGCTGCTGTGTATCGTATGGTGAGTGTAGTAGTAGAGAACCCGAGACCCTTTTAACTGGTAACGAGGCATTCCACCTGAGTCCTCAGGGGTGTTAACACATCTACTAATTTCTTAATCGAGAAGATGTCTAGAGGCCTTAGCTTCCCCTTACCATTAGGTGGACCATGTGCTCGTTTGTCACCCTTTTTCTAAAAAATGGATTCGCACTGCCCGACGTGTCCCTCACGCTATTCCTGTTGCTTGTCTGAGTAATTAACATACGCTTTTATAAACGATATACTATTTTCATAAGTCACATTATAATATCGATATGATGAGGTGAATTGTCTTATGACGTCACCAAACGCCACTGAGTATACCGTAGGAACTGTTGTACAAAAAGTTACACGTACTAAATGATTTCTTATATTTACCCGAATACTACACATTAAATGAAACTAATTTTACGGATTTGGTTTTTTTGGATTGAGGTTAATTGATGATCCCAAGGTCACGGGAGGGGGGGGGGGGGAACGAAGTGTTTGTCGTCCTGATGTCATAGTTAATATATAATAAAAAGTCATAGATAATAAAAAGTTGAAGGTAGCCTTCGTTAGCTGTTAAGCCTGGCGTCGACTACAGCAGAAATGCGTAGAATTGAAGCGAGTCGCATTTATTCCTAGTGCGTCCATCTCTGACGAATCGAATCGAATTGTTCATTCATCGCAAATTCTTCATAAAAATAGGTCGTTTTTGCGTCATGTACTGTTCGGATGAAGAGATGTTTTTATTTCATCGTGATAATGTGGGTCTTCATGTTTAAAGAATTCTGGATATTGTTGGACCAGTGATATCAATAGTTCTTCATTCATTTTTATTTAAACAAAAAGATTTTTACGAAAACGAAATAGAAATTAATTAAAATACGCTGGCGCGCATCCACTTCTCCGCGACGACTTTCTGTATAGGACAGTTACTATATATACTCTTTGGCGTCGACTGAGGCGCGCCGAGTTGAATCGAATCGCATCGGCGAAGAAATTCGACAGTCAAGCAATTGGCGCGGTCGATTCAATTCGGCGCGCCGCGGCTTGTCGCTAATGGACACAGTTTCATAGTAAATATATAGGAGGCGACTTTCTGCGATTCGATACGACTCGGCTCGGCGAGCCTAGTGGACTCTTAGCCTTATACGTACTTGTTCTGGTGGTGTGAGTTCATGCGGTGCTCTCTTCGGTCGCTCCCTCTCGCCCTTCCGCGCCAGCTCTTCGTTGCGTAATTCCTGCTCTATGGTACGCGCGAGACGAGGAGCATCAGCGCCAAAAATGACATTCACCAGCTGTCCAGCCTGTGATGACGATGACGACGTTAATGTTAATCTATACTTGAGGTTTTATAATAACAATAATATATTTTATTGGCACAAAAAACAAAAAACAAACAGTAAAAAGTGCCAACTCCAACTGTAAATCAATAAATAATTTTTCATCTTTATTTTCTTAAATTTTTTTTGTTATTATTTTTACGTAAACGTCTATAGCAATTTGGATGTAGTTTTGTATTTAGATAATGTTTTATTTTCCAACTTCAAAAAGTTGCGAAATCAAGGCAATTCTAAAAGTTGATAAATTAAAATAAATATTATTAGTGAAACAAATGCATGTGTCGAACCAAATTCCAAAAATGAAAACATACCTATATTGATGAAAGAATTTCTTAAGTTACTAATAGTCGTTATAATTAATAATTAAACCTTTTAATTTAACGGAATGAGGGCATCCACGACTTTTTCTGCCACCAGGGCGGCGCCACTGGAAAGGGAGGTATAACATTTGACAGATTTCATAGCGGTGAAGTTAATTTATTTGGAAAATGTAAGACTTATTGTTTCTTTTTGTACTATTGGATATATTTTATATTAATAACATTCAAAATAAATATACCAAATTACAGATATTCATAAAAGTAGAAAAATTAAAAAAAAGTTAAAAATGTACAAAAATTTTAAAAAGGAAACCACTGACGCATTATTTGTGTATTAATATAATAATCTAGAAACTGATAAACATTTATTAAAAAACAACTTCTCAATTAAATTACATTGTGTAACAAAAAACTTTACCTCATCCTCAGTGTCATCTAGCGACATCTGGTGAGCGGAAAATTATTAGCCCCCATTTACATTGGTTAAGTACCATTTAATATAAACAATACACATACGATTTTCTACATTTTAAACAAAAATATTGCTATGTGGGAACGATACTTATTAAGGATTCTCTCTCAGTTACTGTCCCAAAAAATTCATAACAAGTGAAAGTGCGCTGACGATTTTAAGGAACCGTTTAGTGTTTTAGCACTTTGGAGCCTGTTTTCGCTGATCACTAACTTTTTACTACAAATTAATCAGGGTGACATAAAGATTTATTATATTTACGCGAATATTTCATTGAATTAAACTAGGTAGTTTAAAGTGAAACGCCCGAAACGTTGAAAATTGAAATAAAGTTAAATTAACCGCGATAAAAACCGTAAAATTAGTTTTATTCAAAACTCGTGTGAATAGGATAAAACGAAATATTTTTTTTTTCAAAATTGCGCGATTACCACGAAGAATACCATTGTCGTATCTCCCTGTGTCATATCTCCTCAGTTTTCTTTGTTGCCTCAGCCAGTACCGGGTTCTTCGGTGTCAACATATCGCGTGATGTGCAGTTTCCTGGTCACTTGGAAGAGAAGGCCAAATTGGCCTCTAAAAAGCTTGGCGTGCTCAGCAGAGCGGGACAGTATTTCATGCCGGCACACCGCTTGCAACTTTACAACCCACAGGTTTGGCCCCACATAAAATATTGTTCCCATCTCTGGGCAAGGGCTCCCCACTGCCAGCTCCTCCCACTTAACCGCATCCAGCGCAGGGCAGCTTAAATCGTCGACGACCGAGTTTTTTCCGATCGGCTTGAATCACTGGCACTGCGAAGAGATGTTGCATCTCTTTGCGTATTTTATCACATCTACCACGGGGAGTGCTCCGAGGAATTGTTCGGACTAATTCCAGCCGCTAAATTTCACCATCGCATACCGCGACAAAACTCGCGATACCATCCATACTATCTACATGATTGTCAGTACTCTACTGTGGGATTTAGAAGTTTTCTTCCTCGCACAACTTCCTTGTGGTATCGACTACCACCAGAGATTTTTCCGGACCAATACGATTTAGGGACCTTCAAGAAAAGATCCTACTCTTTTATAAAAGGCAATTTGCCTGGTATTGCAGTTGTTTATGAGCGGCGGTAGTCACTTACCATCAGGTGAGCCGCATGCTAGTTTGCCCCCTCTCCTATAAAATAAATTCTACATAGTTAGATTGTCCGCGTTTTGGCGGTGTAATGGATTCCAATACGCCGTCAGTGTCGTAAGAGGCGATAAAGACAAATGAAACAGGAGTGGGTGCTGCACCTTCCTGTGCCACCACCAACACCGCAATGTGTGGGGTAAAATAAAACTATCAATAGTTACTTATGTAAGTAGTTTTTTGGAACGATATTCTTTATCGGACAGTACGGGTTTGGCGGATGGGAGCTAGCCGACAAAAAGTGTAAGATTTTTTCATCACTACCCCTTGTGTCATAGTCTAGACGCCCTTGACGGCGAAATAAGGAAGTGATATGGAATAATATCCATTTCCCTCGCACTTTTTCTTATCTTGCTATGAAAGAAATATTATCTTATTTCTAATGACGCTTCATTTTAATAGACGCTAGTAATTCATTTATTTGTATTTGTTAATCAATAATATAATACCTACGTTTATCAATAATAATATACTACGTAAGGAACTTCGTTCCAACCGAGTGTTCCACGACACTCACACATTTTTTTTACAAACTATACATTATTATTGATGTTTTCATTGATTTTGCACATAATATTTCCGCGCATATTATTGATTTATAATATATGTTACTGTTAGCGAGTTATTTTTCATAGAATCACTGAACATTGATCCTGATTACGACATTCAATTATAAACCTACTGTTACCAAACTGCCTACCGAGCGTGGAAACTATGGAAAATATACTCTTCTATGAGGCAATCTAGAGAGGAGCCCTTTTTAGGTAGCGGACTTTTTATAGGCTATATTGAATGAATAAATAAATACTACATAGATTAAAAATAATACTTATTGAAAGTAATTTTTACTTTAACCACTGACTGGTTCAGAAAATAATTTCCTTTTCTAGGAAGAACCAATTAAAACTCACCGCTAGCTTTTGTTAAAGTTATTAGTATATTTATTGGAACTATGGGAAGGACCACGCGCTCACAAAATACCAGCGTAAAATAGCAGCTTAACGCTTAACTCAACACATTGAAAAAAAATTGCAACACGAAATTTTTTTCATAGCATAGGGTGACAAACGAACACACAGTCCACCTGATGGTAAGTGGTTGATGTGACCCACAGACATCTACATCTATCCTCAATAAAGAATCAAAATGCAGGTGCGTTGTCACCCGTGAAAACTAAGATGGAATGCCTCTTTACCAGTAAAAAGGGTCTCCGGATCTCTACACTCACCATACGAAACACAGCAGCATTAAGCTGCTATTTTACGCTGGTATTCTGTGAGAGCGTGGTCCTTACCCGGTCGAGCCGACCCATTCGTGCTACAACTATACTATTAATATAGCTGCAGCATGGCTCTACCATGTATAAATATAAAAAATACCGCTTATCGGTGTTCATGATATGTCCAATTACAAGCAAATATTGCAGGTTTAACTTTTGTAAAAGTATTCCTTAGGACTATTTGATCGATACCGTTCACACCGGTGCCATTCCATTCTACCGCAAATATTCACACATGCACACACATGTACTGTGTATAGTTTCAGTGACTTGGCATGGGTGGTTGCCACCCGGTCGCTAGAGCAAAAATGTTGCCTTTCACTTCCATTCCCCAAAATTTTCCCAATGATTTTGTCTATGTGTATTATTTAACAGTGAAATATATATTTTATGGGCATCATTTTTAAAAATTGAACGACTACGGCTGAATCGGGATGAAGACGCATCTGTAGCCTTCTGTGTATAAAGTTGGTACTTAATATCAGGTAGACTGTAGGTTCGTTTGTCACTTCAGTTTCACAAAAAAAAAACAACTAAAATTGCTATTTAAATTTCAGTGACTTCAGTGACGACTCTTCGATTCGGTTCGGAGGAGAGCTTATCTCTTGAGCTACGCCGGCTTCATCATCATTACAGTCTTTCACAAGTCCACTGCTGAACATAGGCCTCGCCCATGGAATGTCACAAAGCACGGTCCCGAGTCACCTGCATCCATCGACTTCCTGCATGTCTTACCAGGTCGTCACTTCAGCTAGTGGGGAGTCACCCTAAACTTCGCCTACCGGTAAGAGGTTGCCACTCGAGAACCTTTATTCCCCATCGGCTGTCAGTTCTTCGAGCTATATAGCCCATTGCCACTGCAGCTTACTAATCTGTTGGACTATGTCGGTTACTTTGGTTCTACTGCGGATATCCTCATTTCTAAGTTTATCACGCAGAGAAACCTCGAGCATAGCCATCTCCATAGCGCGCTGAGCGACCTTGAGCTTCCTCATATGGCCAGCAGTGGAGGACCACGTCTCAGATCCATAAGACATCATTGTTGCCCTAACGTACTGGTTGTACAATCTCATTTTAAAGTTTTGAGTCTGACGATAAGATGTGCCGGCTTACTTACTTATATTACTAAGGAGTAGTAAAGTGTAAATTACCGCCAAAAACATCCAAGTTGGTTCGCTGCGATTTCTGAATCTCTTCAAGCACTCTATTGTATCCGCTTTTGCCTGACGACATGAATAATTAAAAGTTAAAAACCCTAATCTCCAGATTTGTACGTATGTATAAATAAAAATGAGGTGTCAGTCTGTAATATCAAAATAACTATCTCTTTTAAGTTCAGGGGTTTATTTACATACTAACAAGACATAGACAATCATTTTTAAAGTTTGCGTCTGTGTGTTTGTCTGTCCAGGCTAATCTAAGAAACGGCTAAACTGAATGCTATGAAACTTCATGAACAGATAGAAAGTATTGCCAGGTACGGTCAGGTTATATTTTTTTTGGAAAACAGGATTTTTATTATGAAATTGAAAAAGGGATCAAATAAAAGGTTTTGTTTAAATAGTAAAATATAAGAAATTTAAGTTTTGAGATAAGAAATTCTTCAACATTTTTTAGCACGCAGACGAAGTCGCGGGTAAAATTAATATAAATATATAAAACTCATTTTATTTAGAGAAATTAAACAGTTGAATCTATTCAAGTGTGTGATAACGCAAATATGGTGTAATAAAACAAATAATGCACATTTTGTGTAAGGAAAGTAGAGCAAAGTCGTTTTGTAAGGCAGTTGTTAAAATTATAGAGCGGGAAAACCCCTTTTTTAGAGAGCACAATTTGCAGCCATATATGGCTGCAGCGTGGCTCTACCACTTCTATGTTTCTACACTACCGATATTTTATGAGACTTACCACCGCGAGTTGCAAGTTGTCACCACCAATCTCCACCTTGATCTTCTTCAGGTTGCCTACCATACCTATGCACGGGCCGCACCATTCCGAATACACGTCCACTACTGTTGGACAAATAACTGTTTATTGTGTATATGTACAAATCAGAAAAAAAAAATAAAGATCATAGAGGTATTTATAAATAATTACCGTATGTTTTAATGACATAATTTCTAATGATATATCTAAAGTTTAAATAAAAATCAAATACTTTAATTTAATTATCTTATAATGTAAAGATAAAACTTTTAGACATACCATTAATAGACACATGCCTCTTCTCATTTTCGAGAAGGCTAATATAGAGTAGTTATTGTGTTGGCCTGCTCCAGTGCGTGTTGTCGAACATCACATGTTTTGCTTCACTGCCGTTTTTGTGTTTTGTGTTCGAGCTCAAAGTAAATCAGCACATAAAATTGCAGTTACCAATTTCATTGGTTCTGGGAAACCTGGGATGCTCGGTTACTATGAAATTCACTGCGATCGTTTAGTCCCTGAATTACCACGATTCTTATACCTTGATTATACCATAAGTGTATTCACATAATTAAACATTAACTTATCCTAGCTCATCTATATTTCTTTGCATTTTTTTTCATGTTCTCATATGAAGCGCTCAGAGAATTTGCTTGGATTAACTCTTGCTGCCAAATTTCAGCATCATACACGACACAACACTGTCTTTGAGCCAGATTATCGTGTTGGTTGGCAATCCACCATTGTGCCTTTTTCTAAGAATTTCCTACCTCGCACAATTACACTGTGGAATTTAATTTAAACAGCAGTTTTTCCAGGCCTGTATGACTTAGAAACCTTCAAGAAAAGATCTAGTCCTTTTCTAAAAGGTCGGCACGCACCCCTTGTGCTGCTGATGTTAATTGGCAACGGTAGTCACCATTAGTCTCTACTAATAGTGACTACCGTTGTCAATAAACATTTCCGATGTAAGGTTTATTTGATACGACTAGAGCTGGGAACCTCATCATCATCATTATTACAGCCCTTCACAAGTCTACTGCTGAACATAGGCCTTCCCCAAGGAATGTCACAAAGCAGGGTCCTGAGCCACCTGCATCCGTCGAATTCTTGCATGTTTTATCAGGGCGCCATTCCATCTATTGACTACAATTAGCTGTACTATTCCGCTGAGAATCTACCGCGTTCTGAAGCTGTACAGATGACAAATAAAGTAGCTCACCCAGTAGCCCGTCTCTCTGCAGGAACTTTTTCCAATCCTCGTCGTTGTTGAGCTCAGCCTGCAGCTGAACCTGTGCCGCTTTCTTGCCTGCCCCCGCAGTGGCGGCGGCCGCGGCATTCGCGACCGCGTTAGTCAGCGACATCGAGTACAATGGGAGCAACGTAGAACACATAGTGTTGAGATGGGATAGAGGCGACGGAAAGAAATTACAATAATAAGTTTTAAAATATATTCAATTACAAAATTGATATTTTATTTAAAATTTACTACTTTAATTTGGTTAATAGGATCAATTTTAAGAAAAAGTACAAAGTACTCGGATACCTAGACGTGCATGCATGAAGAAGATAATGAATCTGAAAGAAGCGAAAGAGGTTTGTAAGGATCGTGACACTTGGCGATCTGTTCTCTCTGGCTACCCCGTCAGGGATTGTGCGTGAAGATAAGTAAGTAAGTAATTTTAAGAAAAAAAAGTATTATACCACGATCATTGGCTAATCACCGTAGCAAGCAACAAGCAACAGTCAAGGGCGAGGCCAGGCCTCAAACGTTGTTGTGGCGTTTTTGGCGCCATTATTGTAGAATGGTGGGAAAATGAGAACCGTGGAGTATTATTGTACCTAGTAAAAGACATGAATCGAGTATAATCATTATCTTTTGGTATATTGGATCGGTATCATGAACCCGCTGCTCTGATACTTAATACAAGTGCTATGAGTGATGAATAAAGTTAGGTAGAGTTATATTGTATAGCTTTATTAAATATTGTACAAAAGTGAAAATAAGTTGTTTTGTCCTCGTGTTTAACCGTGATGTCGATCACTAAGCCTGAAAACATTAACAATGTACTATTCTTTCCTTTTGAAATGATCACAATACACAAAAAAACCCACCAAGTTTTTGTCGTGTAAATGAATTAGTAGCGTATAGAAGAATAACAAACAAATAAATATTTGTTTTTATATTTTAAATGACAAACAATTTATTAAAGTGAGAGAAGTAGAAATATTTACTTACTTTAAAGATTTTATTGTTTGGACCAGAATAACTTTCTACATAAATGAATACAAATGGAGTTAATAATATCCAGCGAGGTTATGAGTAGTTTTTATAATTCATGTCACTTTTTTCCTTGCTTTCTTGAAATTCTATAATATCCTTTATGAGTAATGATATAAAAATGTATTATGATTTCATTCTTTATTCAGTATTGATCACAAAATATTATAATATAAACACAAAAGAAATAATGCTTTCATGGAAATTTGAAATAAATAAAGCTAATGAAAAAATCTATATAATATTAACAAATGAGCTTACAGTGTACCGGATGGTAAGCAGACGCTGTGGGTCAGAGATACTTATATCTGTTTGTTGCCCCTGCAACTAACTAGGCAGAATTGTTAATGTTGAATTTCTTTCGAATCACCAATGAAATTAAAAATATTAACGAAAACATTACGTATTTTTAATTGGTTATAGACGAAAATTAGAGTAATATATACAGAATTTGGACATATTATATGTTCTATCTATTATTTTACAACTCTTCAATCTCATATCCCTTGCATGTCTGGCGAACAAGTATACAATTCGCTTTATGACTATTCTATGATACAATGACTTCGCTAAAGCATTCAAATTTTATACTTATTAACATTTTTTGCTATTCTATGACTTCACACTAGGTATTTAAAGTTAAAAAAGTATTTTTTAATTCTTTGCCAAACTATGTAAATTTAGTGCCAGTTTCTTGCCACCAAAAACCTAATTTATCCTTAGAAATAATATTTCCTACAAGTTTAAAATAATTCATAGAAAACGTACGTTTTCCTTTATACTCTACCTGAAACTATCATGATGTTTGCTGAACATTTGAATAAAATTAAGACCTATATAACTAAATTGTATAATACAATACAATACTTACAATACTTATTAATCTAACAAAATATACAAATATTGAAGGAAAACATAAGGCGGTCTTATTGATACATAGTTATTTCTTTGGGACAACCCAAAGAATTAAAAATTAAAAATTTTGTACAACCGACTTCAATATAAATTATTAAGAATAACTCAAAAAGTATTGGTCAAACCTTGATCAAATTTATATGGGATCACATGTGAAGCACCAGCTTTCAAATAAAAAACAATAATCGAAATCGGCTCACCCAATAAACAGTTATGAGGTAACACACATAAAAAAGACAGACAGTCGAATTGAGTACCGTCTCCTTTTTGAAGTCTGTAGAAAATCGCTCGATTTAACTTAATGCACTAAAAATATAATAGACTTAAAGAAAGAAGAAAGAAAGTTTAGAGAAACAATAATGTTCCATGAACTGTTTCTTGAACAAATGTAAGGATTGAGCACGTTTAATTGGCGGAGGTAAGGAGTTCCAAAGTTTTACTCCAAGAACAGAGAAAGATTTATTATAAAATATAGAAGAGAACACAGGACATTGGAGGGAAAGGTTTTCCTGGGGCTTAGGAAAAATTATGACAGGAGCTAAATTTAAAGCAGGGGCAATAATGAAAAGGAGAAATTTAAAACATTGTGTTAGTTACAGTGGACTTGATATTTGTATACATATAATAAAAATATAAATAGCAGACGTCTGTACATTTTATATTTTTGTAATAAAAGTGATTGAGATATACCAAAAATAAGTAATTAAATACATTTCTACCGTTTTTAGAATTGTCTGTCTGTCTGTCTGTTTGTTTGTTAACGTATCACGTATAAAGTACTAATTTATATCATAAGAATCGTTAAGGAAAATATAAAGCGTATCTTCGGGTTACATTTAGTCTTTATTTCATTGAAATCAGTTCATTCCATCAAAAGTTATGATAAATATTCTGAAGTACGGGTGCGAAGTATAGGTACAAATTTGTTCAACGGTGGCATTGGTTGAGTCATATATTGTAAATCACAATTGTTGTAACATAATGTTCTATAATGTTATAATTATCTTTAAAACGCAGTAAGCAAAAGTATTAAAGAACGTAATAAATATATAGAAAAATATTTTAACCTTATTATCTACATCTAAAGTACAATAGTTAACCCATTTCATCGATAGATGGTGTTGTACAAATGTAATAGAAAAAGGCAGGTTGTGGTTTTTTCCTGTAGATGAGTTTTCATATTTGCTGCTAATCTTTATATTATTCGCTGCCCTACTGCGTGTTGACAAACTCATTTGTTCTTTACCGCCGAGTACTCTATGTGGTAAATCAAATTTTAAAAGAGCTATTAAAAATTTCGTTGGTTTCGGCGAGAATCAAACTTTATTTTTTGCTTACTATGCAGGCACTGTTTTATAAGTGTTTTTTTATGTTTTATATAATGTATCAATTGCGTCAATTAACCTCTTTTATTTTTAGAATTGATGTTAAAAGCACCATCTCTCTTTAAATGTATAGGTACATATTATAATAAAAATAGTGATAACGTGTTGTGTCTGTTGCTGTGCATTTGTTGATCGAAGTGCATTGTATAGTATGTTTGTGGCTAAATCATTAGGGGGACTGAAAATCATTAAATAAGTAAATTTTTATATATTTTAGAATTGTGTGTCTGTCGGTCTGTGTCCTTATGAACGCATCACGTTTTGAATAAACATCTTTTTTCAAAGAAGTCAAAAATCATAAGGCGTACCCTCGAGTTCATTTTTAATCTTAATTTTATTAAAATTGGTTAGTTCTATCGAAAGTTATGATTATTATTTTGAAATCTAGGTTCGAATCTGTTTAAAGGCGCCATAAAATCTCAGAAATAGTAATAAAATGATTCGTGTGTAAAAAAAAAGTTCTTTTATAATATATTTATACTTAAAACACAGTAAACAAAAAAAAAATGTTTTCCTTTAATTAAAAGAGGATATTTTCTCACAAAGAACGTAATAGATGGCATTGTACAAATTACAACCTTTTCTGATTTGCGGTCTGTTCAGAATTTTTCGCCAGTGAATCGTAGTGAGACTCACTGAAGAAATTTGTGCCCATGAGTACGATGAAGTTGAAAGAACCGTGTAGGCTAACAGCACAAACATCACCAGAAACAAGAGAAGAAACACGTGTCCATCCAAGGTATACAACGAAACTCGATTAAAAGTATCAAAATTGCAACAAAATGTCGCAATATTGTTTTTATAGCCAGAATCCCTCTAATAGCAAATACCTAACTTTCCTTTTAGTTTTAAGCGTGTTCAGTTCCCAGTCAGCGTATGTTACTCGTATGTTATGCGATGGCCGTAAATGAAGCGCAAGGTCAAACTTTACGCGTTCCAGGAGTGGACCTTAGTATTGTTTTGCACATGACCAACTCTACGAGTATGTTGCTTTTTCCCGCGTTAGTAGGCCCCGTAACCTTTTTGTGTACGCCCCGGCTAAGTCACCTTCTAACGTCGTTTACTCAGAAGCTCTATCATAAACGACTTAGAACTTAAAAGATAACGATTTATTTTGTTACCACTTATTGATACAGTAATAATATAAATCGTTTAATATTCTCTTACCTCAACGTCAAATTCTTTAAGTAAAACCTATATACGCGGGCTACGTCGCGGGCACAGCTAGTATTAAATAAGACGCAGGAGTGAGCAGAAAGAGTGTGAGTATTGCGACAAAAGCGGATTATATATTTTTCTGCCGACTTCCAAAAAGGAGACGGTACTCAATTCGAGTGTATGTTTTTTTTTATGTGTGTTACCTCATAACTTTGTACAGAGGGAACCGAATTCGATAATTCTTTTTTATGTGAAAGCTGATAGTTCTCGTGTGGTCCCATATGAATTTGATCAAGGTCAGACCAATGGTTATTGAGTTATTCTTAAATAACTTATATTGAAGTCGCTTATATTGAAGTCGGCTGTACAAAATTTTTAATTTTAAATTATAAAATGGTGCTTCAGCGTCAAAGGGCTTTTAATTAATACTTTTGAGCCCTCAAAATTAATCCCTTAAATCGAAAATTCCAATTTCCACCTCGCGTCTGGTTTGGTAGGTACCTAGAAAAAAAATCGCTCATCTAGGTAACACACTCTTAGAGGAAAACCTCTTTGTCAGACAGACAGACACTAAGGTGATTCCATAGCTTTCATTTGTTGAATTTGGCACGGTACATTAAAACAT